CCAAAGAACATGCGGAGCTGAGCAGCTTTGCTGGCCTTAACTGGGCAAAGCAAGTGCAGGAGGACTGCAGAGGAGACGCCTGCGCCTGAGGGGGCCCTTGTGCCCCGCCAGCTCAGAGGAAGGAAAAGGGAATGTATTGGGTTTAGGCAGAGATTCAGCCACGCCCTGAGTTTTATGAGGAGCTGTGCCATAGATAGGAAATTGAATGTTTGCAGGTTTTCTTGGCTAAGCTGTATTTAGTCAGGCCTATAGAGCACAGAAAGCTTCATTCACGAAGCATTTCTTCGACAAGCGTCGAGTATTGTTGATGTAGGCAAGCTCAGAAGTCTCCTTTAAGGAGAAAAGAATGAATGGTCCTAAGAAGAATTAAGCTACCAGAGAAGGAGCTGGGATTCAGCAGATCTGGACCAGGCACGTGCTGCGAGCTCTCAGGCTCAGAACTGAAGGACACCTGGAGGACAGAATGACGCCGATGAAGATGCTGAAGTAACCAGAAGACGCTCTGTTCCAGCCCTCGGTTTCAGCAGGACTGGCACTACAGCCCCTAAACCCTCCAGAGCCCTGCAATGTTGCCTTCCGTGTCAGGCTGCGCCTAAGCTGCTCAGTGCCTTGGAAGCTCCCGGGCGCTCCGGACGGGCTGTCCCGTCCAGGGCTTTGCGCTGCTTCCGAGCGGCCCAAGGCTCTCCCCCTTCACAGAGGGGCCCTGCCCCGCCCCACGCACCTCCTGACAGCCGCCCCACAAGGAGGGCTGAACGGGCACGTCCTCCTAACACCGCCCTCTCTTAAACCTTTGGGGCACCCAAGCGCTCTGCTCAAGGGCCTCTCAGGGCCTACACTCGGCTTTCCATGCTAAGGTGTCATGCTTCCTTCTCTAAGCCCTACAATTGCCTGGTTGATGTCAGCTGACTTGGAAATGGGGAAAATGGGATGCTTTCAAATTGAGGCGACTCTTCTGGGTAACAACTGCAGTGTTTCAGCAACAGAATTTCAAGGTAGTGCTGAGTCTTTCTGCGGTTGCCTTGAGTTTCAAATGCCACCCTCAGCATCTCAAGTGTGACAAGCCTCAAGTGTGGTGTGGTCTTGGATTTTTTTAACTGTTTGAACTCTAATATGTTAGATTTTCCTATGTTATGAAAGGGTTTTTTCCACACCCCCCTGTTCCGTTTCAAAACTAGTTCTTCCCAGAGTTGCTGACCCCATATTTTCCCGCCCTTCCTTCTGCTCTTTATGCCGCAGCAGCCACCGAGTTTCTTTGGGAAGAAACTTGCCCCTAAGGTGCCACCACTTTGGTAAATCTCCTGCCGGCAGCATCAGCTAGAAAGGGGGCATGTGTACTGGCGGGCGGGTGCAGAGTATTTGCAGTGTCACCCGCAGTGGCTGCGTGCCCTCCCCGGGAGAGTGCGTGGCAGTGGAGTCAGCCATTTCCTCAGCTTGCTGCTTCAAGCAAGACAACCTGCAAATTGCAGACTCTAAGGAGAGATCCTCAGAAGTACTTCTACAAACTCGGTGGTTCTCTCCAGGAGTGAAGGAAAGCAACTCTTGCCCAAAACTCTGCCTTGAGAGGCCTTGGCTCTGTGACTTGACCCTTTCATGGTGTGCCAAGACAGCAATTCCCTTGGCCATGCAGCACAAACTCCAATCCAGATAGGGTTTGCTGCTGAACCCAGGAGCTGTTCCTGGCCTGCTTCAGCAGAGAGCTGCCACAGCAGCGAAGGGGCCCTGTGTGCAAACATTCCTGGGGTATCGTCTTCAGCCAACTGATGTTGCATGCCATTAAAAAAAATAAATACAAAATACATACATATATATATATGTCCCTGTTGTTCGCTCGCTTGCTGTGGGAAAGAGCTGTTGCTCCTGGAGGCATGTTGGGAAAGGGGAAATGCTCTCTGTTGGGACTGACTTGTGCTGTGGCCTTCCCAGCACAGGCACTTTCCTAAGGGCCTCTGGTTGCTTTTCCCTTGCTCGCTGCAGGTCACTTCACGCGCAGATGGAGGCAAGCCTGTCCTTTGGTGAGTGGCAAAGGAACCTCTGACCTTGCTGGCGTGTAAGAATTGTGCAGCAAGCTGTGAGCTTGGCCTGTTGCAGTCGAGTGTGGAGTGCCAGCGTGGGAGGCTGGAAGAAAGGCCAGGTGCCTGGTGGCGTCAGCAGTAGCAAGAGCAGCAGCGGCTCTCTCCTAGTTTTCCAGTGAAGAGCCTTTCAAGAGATGCCAGGCAAACGTGACAGCTCCAAGGTGTCTTGCTGCTTCTAGCTAGCCTGGAAGCTCAAGTGCACAGCAAGATGAAGTACCACCTGAGTCAGCCCTCTTCACAGGGTTTTCATGACTGGGAGTGCCACTTGTATCAAAGGCCATGATTTCCCCTGATTCTGGGTCCTTTCCCAGCTCAGTAGAAAGCAGCTCCTAAAGGATTGGCTGTTGCTCATGTCTCTCACTTCTGTGTGTCTGCAGGGCTCAGCAGCAGGGTCAGCACATCCTCTGGCTCCCTCTCTTGTTGAGGAAGAGGCTGAAGAGGAGCAAAGGAGCACCAAGCCTCCACCTGCAGTCCCTCCACAGCCTGAACCTGCAGAGCCAGTAAGTGGCAGCTGAGGTTGGCACAGCCTTTGGTGCAGAGGCAAGCTTCAAGGTTTGGATGAGCCAGCCCTTGGTACTTGTGGCTGAGGATGCTGGCGGCTGTGTGCCTGCCACGACGTAGTGGCTGCTTCAGCCAAGCCAGGCAGCCCTGGCCAGTGGGTTCTGACCTTTGACATTTAAGCATCACTTGTCTGCCATGCTGAGGGGGCCCGAGAATGTCTCTTGGCATCAGCCAAGAGGCAGCATCCAATTATTCCCAGGGTAGGAGTGAGCCCCTGGTGCCCACTGTCAGCCCCTTGTGCTCCGTCTGCGTGCCAGCGGACGGAGCGGCCCAAAGACGCGGTTGGCAGCCTTGCAGGATATTGGGCAGACTCTGGCCCCTGGAAGGGACATGCCCCTCTCTGTGGACTAATTAGCCTGAGGCACAAGGTCGACCGTGCTTCAGTTGCGCAGGGGCAGAGCAGAGTTTGGAGAGGAGGATCCTAGGCAGCACTGCATTGTAAAGGGCGGCTGGGTCCCGGCAGGGCTGGAAGGCAGCTGCGAAGGGCCTCAAGTCTGAAATACAGAGGGGAAATCAGTGCGGAACAGATGAGAGAAGGGACATGATCTGGCCTTCTGATCAGACAGTTGCATGCCAGCTCCGGGCTGATTTCACTGCCCAGGAAAGCACAGCAGGAGGAAAGCAACAAGGCTCTGGGGCCGTGCTCTGCTGTCTTGGTGGATCTTTGCAGACCCATCGATACCTTGTAGCCAGTGTCTTGCAGAAAAGCCGAAAAAAAGGAGCAAGGAAGTGGCCAGGAGCTGCTGCATGAAAGCAGCCTTTGGGGTTTTGCCGTTGCCTTGGAGAAGGGGACATCAGAAAGGCCCCAGCTGAAGAGGCCTGGCGCTGGCTGCCAGCCTCTTCCGACGGCCTTGCTTTTGCCCTGCGCTCTGCGGGGCATCTGTGCCAGCCACCCTTCTGACGGGCAATCCTTTCTTGTCCCAGCTCAACACAGGCTCTGCGATTCAACGTGCCGCTGGACCAGCACGGCCTGCAGCAGCCAGCTCTGCCCCCGCTGCCGGCACTTCGTGCAGCAGCGCAGCCCAGCAGCCCGAGACGAGAGAGGAGCAGGGCCTGAAGACACTGAGTACGTCTGGTGTATTTCTGGTGGGCCAGAGCAGCGTGTTGTCTGCGTGTCTCGGTGTGGGCTGCGCCAGACGTTCCCCCTGGGTCTCAGAGGCACTTAGGCCGCTCTGCAGAAGCTGTTGTTGCGCTCTGGGGCAGCGCGGGAGCGCTCAGGCTGTTCCTGTTGCCTCCGAGGGCAGCTGGGCCTGAGGGCTTGGTTCTGCCTGGGCTGCCTTCTGTGCCAAAGGCACAAGCAGAGATTGTTTGCGGTTGAGCAGAAGGGCTGGCACCTAGGCAGTGACTAGGCCCCAGGGAGCTCTCCGGCCCCAGCTCTTTCCTGGCTGTCGTTCTTCCTCCTCCTCCTCCTCCTCCGGCTCAGACGCTTTGTGCTCCTACGTGGCCCTGCCAGGGATGGTGGGTGTGACTGCAGAGGCTGCCAAGGCCTCTAGCTACCTCTCAGGGCCCAGTTCTTAAGGGCTCCTCATTTTGGCTTATCACATGAGATGCTGTGCTTGAAAGCAATCAAGTCCTTCTTGGAAAGGCCTCCGCCTGATGAAAGGTGGAGAAGATGGCCCTCCCACTTGCTGTTCTCAGCAGCTGGAAGCCAAGAGAGCACAAAGGGCCCAGAGCTGCCGCCAGTGGGGCTGCATTTGGCGTCGTCTGGGGGGCGGCGTCTCGGTGTGCAAGTGAGCGCCCTGCCCACTGCTTTTGTCTTTCAGGGAGCATCGTGGGTCTGGGCCAGCCAGTGAGCAAATACACGGCATTTGAAGAACTTGGGCGAGGGTAAGTGTGACGCCAGCTCATGTTCCAAAAGCGTGGGACAACAGGTAAAGTGCCAACAGCCCCAGCAGATTTTGCACCTCTGGAGCTCACCTGCTGTGAGCTCTGCCTGGAGGCTTGGGTGCCCGCTCCATGTCTGCAGCAGAGGCTGTTCCTCTGCAGTACAGTCTTGGCTCAGGGTGGAGAATGCATTTGGGCTGGGCTTTGGTGCTTCCGCTGAGCTCGGCTGTCTAGTAACAAGGCCGTTTTGGCACAGCTCGCCGCGTCCTTGCACGGGCACTGGCTGCGCGCTCCTTGTGATCGCGCGCCGGGTGCGTCTTCTCAAGCGAATGGTGGGCAATGTCATTTCAGGTGGCCATCAAGATCATGTCACTCCAAGAGGAGATGTCCGAGGAGCTGGCTGTCAATGAAATCCTGGTCCTGAGGGACAACAGGAATCCCAATATTGTCACCTACTTGGACAGGTTGGCCTATGCTCATGTCAGTGTAGCTTGAGATATTGCAAGGCAGAAGAGGCAATGCCCTTTGGTCACTGGAAGAGAATGGAGCTCTTTAGGATTTCTCGACTCGTCTCCAGCGCATGGCAGGAGGTTGACCTGCTGTCCAACCATCTCTTCTGGCACATGCAGCTTGGAGAGCAGTTGCCAAAACCTGGGCCAGGCCCTCGGGTGACGGGGCAGTGCGGCCCATTGCTCTGTCTCCATGCCACGCTTTTCTTCTTCCAGCTACCTGGTGGATGCGGAGCTCTGGCTGGCCATGGAGTTCATGGACGGCGGCACGTTGTTTGATGTGCTCAGGGCAGTGTACCTGGAGGAAGGACAGATAGGCGCTGTCTGTCGGGAGGTGAGGGATCCCGCTTGTGTTTCCCCAGGCCTGCCCTGCACGGTGCTTGTCAACTGCAGGGTAAAGGCAGCAGAGATTTCTTGCTCTCGGCTTTCTTTTGGTGCTGCTGTCACGACACAGAGGAGAAGGAAGGGCATCTGAGGTGAACTGCCTGCCGGTGTCCCCGCACTCCTTCGGCTCTGTTCTTGCACTCTTCCATGCGCTCTGTCCTCTGGCGCTCGTGCTGGCTCCCTGGCTTCGTTTCACTTCTTTCCTCTTCTCAGCTTCGCCTCTGAAAGTCTGCCTGCAGCCTGTCCGTCTTTCCCACATTCCATGCCACTGTGAGCAAGCATGCAGGTGGCAGAATTTGAAGCTAAGGGCAAAGAGATGTCCTCAGCTTCCAAGGATAGCATTGCAGCCCAGATGGCATTGGATTCTGGAACACATCTCACGTGCTGCTTCCTCCGCTGCTGCCACTAGTCTTCCACAAAAATCTTTGCCATGCCGCCTCCCAGGCCGAGGCGATGCGCTTCGTACCGAAGGCGGGCGGAACTTGTGGAAGCCCAGATGCCTTCGCTTTGAAATGCAGAAAACACTCCTAAGAGCCTTGAAGCATCAAGCTGCTCTTCTAGACAGCACCACGATGCTGCGGCCTCGCTCACAACTCCCTGCGAAAGCAGGCAGTCTCATCGAATCCTTTCCTTTCCAGGGGGCTGGAATCAGAGCCTGGATGTTAAGTTTCCCTCACTCCTTTTTCTCTCTCAGTGCCTGCAAGGACTGCATTTCCTTCACTGCCGCCAAGTCATCCACAGAGACATCAAGAGCGGCAACGTTCTCCTGGGCATGGACGGAGCTGTCAAATTGGGTGGGTATTTTTGTTCAGGTGCAGCATTGCCGGCACGCAGCGCATGTGGGGCTGCATTTTGGCGACTGCCACTGGCCCAGAAGCGCTGCTTGGCCAGCGTGTGAATGGTGAGGGTGTTTCTCCAAGTGGCCAATGCCTTATTTCCCTGGCTCCAGCCACGTGGAAGGAGAGCTCAGCTGTGTTTTCAGCTGCATTCAGCATGGCCTTGTCAGGCTTGGAGTGGGCAATCCTTTTGCCTGGCTTGCCAGTGGTAGCTGGCCTTGACAGGCCTTGTTTTTGTCCTCAGCTGACTTTGGCCTCTGCGCTCAGCTCAGCCCTGAGCGCAGCAAGCGCAGCTCCAGCGTCGGCACTCCCAGCTGGATGGCACCGGAGGTGGTGCGAGGAGAAGCCTACGGCCCCAAAGTGGACATCTGGTCCCTGGGGATCATGGGGCTGGAAATGGTGGAAGGGGAAGCTCCTTACCAGAGGGAAGCCCGTCTCAGGGTAAGGTGCAGCTTAGAAAGGGGAGAGAGAGCTGCTGTGGCGAGGAAAGGAGCAGCTCGAGTGTCCTCTTCCATCCGTGTGCTGTAGGTTTTTGAACTGATAGAAAGGAACGGGCCCCCAAAACTGCAGAACCCCAGGCAGCACTCGGCTCTCCTGCGCGACTTCCTCCGCTGCTGCCTGCAGGCAGACCAGGACAGGCGCTGGAGTGCCCAGGAGCTCCTGCAGGTAAGGAAAAGCAAAGGGGCAAAAAGCCCTGTCAGCTGAGGACACCTGCAGGAAGGGATGCAGAGGAGCGTGGGCCACGGGGGCGAGACAGGTTACAGGACAGGAAGGCGCAGGGGGACCTGCTGCCCTCGGTCCTCTTGGTGTGTGTGTCTTTCTGGTAGCCCAGGAATGCTGCTGGAGCCCGTCAGCGTCTTGGAAAGTAAGGGTTCCTTTCTTTCTTGTTTCTCCTCTGGGCAGCACCCGTTTGTGACCTCAGGCGAGCCTGCCTCCAGCCTGGCTGCTCTGATCACCTCAGCCAAGCAAGCGCAGGATTGACTGGAGAGGAGACGCCTGCGCCTGAGGAGACCCTTGTGCCCCGCCAGCTCAGAGGAGGGAAAAGGGGATGTATCGCGTTTAGGCAGAGATTCAGCCATCCCCTGAGTCTTAAGAGGAGCTCTGCTGTAGATAGGAAATTTAGTGGTTGTGTAATTTTGTCAGTTTAGGTCTTTTCAATTTAAATCTCTCTTGGTTTTCTTTTCATTTTCTCCAAAGATTAAATTCTAGAAATGTAGGCAGTGTAGGGGGTGACTTTTAAGGACCATAGAACCTAGATAGCTTAGATAATAGAGGATTGTTTAGCTTAGAAGAGAGAATTGTTAATTTAAGGAAGCTCTGAGGTATCTTTGAATCAGAGGAGGGAAAAGGGGATGTATCGCGTTTAGGCAGAGATTCAGCCATCCCCTGAGTCTTAAGAGGAGCTCTGCTGTAGATAGGAAATTTAGTGGTTGTGTAATTTTGTCAGTTTAGGTCTTTTCAATTTAAATCTCTCTTGGTTTTCTTTTCATTTTCTCCAAAGATTAAATTCTAGAAATGTAGGCAGTGTAGGGGTTGACTTTTAAGGACCATAGAACCTAGATAGCTTAGATAATAGAGGATTGTTTAGCTTAGAAGAGAGAATTGTTAATTTAAGGAAGCTCTGAGGTATCTTTGAAATAGAAATTAATGAACTGTGAT